CTATTTTCAATTATGTGGAGAAGTAAGTAATAAATAATTATTTTCAATCTTATTTAATATATATACTTATTATATATCTTATTCTTTATTAGGATTATCGATGGTGGTGGAGAAGTTTTATTGTCAGTGGAGGATCAGCTGTATATGTTTTAGCTTATTCAATTTTTTATTTTATGACAAAATTAGAAATAACAGAACTAATTCCAACACTTTTGTATTTTGGTTACACTGGATTAATGGTTTTAACATTTTGGTTATTAACTGGTACAATAGGATTTTTTGCAGCTTATGCATTTATTCGAAAAATATACGCTGCTGTAAAAATAGACTAGTCAATCATTGATCCTATCAGTGATTAAGAAAAGTAACACTGTTTCAATGTGTGTTACAAAGAATATTTAATTACTTTAAATGAAATGTATGTGAAACCAAAATAGTACAGTTTATTTTCAGTTTCGATATATTAATTTCATTTAGTTACAAATGAGAACTATATTTACCAAATAATATTTTTAAATATTATAAAATTATTCTGTTTATAATGAAAAATATGTAAAATTTATGAATGAACAGAAAAAATTGTAATTAAAGAGAATGATGTATAACTTCATTCATTGCATTATTAATACATAATTTTCAGTTTTTATTGTTTATTAAATCTTAAATATTTTGTATTAAAGTACTTATAATTTATAAAATGAATTCATTTTATAAATTATTTATTTCATTTTCATATATAGAAATGAATAAATTATTAATTAAGTATTAATATTATTTTTTTTAAATATAAAAAATATAAAATTATAACATTTTTAAGTATAAATAATATTATAAGTTATACATAATGAAGTTGAACAAGTTGTACTATTGGGCAGAGAGACATTCAATATGTAAAAAAAAAAGTCGAAAAAAAAATTTTTTTTTCGATTAATTTTTGCATGTAGAATTATTTTCTTATTACTCTTGGATGTATCTATTTATCTATTTGACTTTACTTATATGTAATATTAGTTATAGTTAATATCAGTACAATAGTAGTATTAATTCACAATTATTCTTCTTTTTATTACAATAAGATGAAAATTTTACAAATTATATTTATAAATATTTATTAACACACAAATATGCATTAAATGCATATAATATAACATTAATAATCAGTTATATTCAAATAAGTTGAAAGTATACATTACTTCTTAATATGTATTATATCATATAAAATGTTTATCAATTATATAATATTAATAATATTTTTAGTTAATATATATAATATATAAAATAATAATATTTTAATAATATTTTTGGCATAATTATAAAGATCTGTATTTTCAATTATTCAAGTATTATATTTACTAAATCTGTACTATAGTATTTCATGAAATTTTTAATATTGATATATCATAAACATATAGTTGTATATAAGTTTTATAAATGTGTATTGATTATATTTGCGATTTTTAATATTCTTATTCTTTTTCTATTTTATACATATTCATATACAATTTCTTTTTTAATAGAATAGCTGTTTGATAAAATAATAAAAACAAAAAAAAAATTAAAATATATAAAATAAAGTAATTTTCAAAATTTGATAAAGTTGAGGTATAGTTATATTGATTTAAATAACAAAAATAAATAAGATAAATATTTTATAAATAATGTAAATAATGTAATTAATACATAAAAGATTTTATATATATAAACACAAATATTTTTCAATAATCTGAGATTTATATTTCTATGTTTTTTCTTATGTTTATAATTATATATTTGTAATTTTTTTGTTTTTTTATTAATATTAATATATAGCAATATATTTTTAATGAAATTTTAAAAGATAATATCGATTTTGTTTTAGTTTACATTTTATAATAAAATATATGAAAATGCACATTATACTAATAATATAAATTTTGATCTCTGTAGATTCTACAGGCATATAACATTTTGATGCAGAATAATTATTAGGAGTAAATACACCCTGAAATATAATAACATTTTAAAAATTTATAATAATATAATATAAAATATTAATATAATAATATAAAATTATAAAATTGAATTAAATATGTTTTTGAAATATGTTTTTTCTAGAACATACCAATAATAGTGAAGGATTATCTTTATTACGCCAACTAAAAGATGATATTGTAAATTCTAATATATCTTTCCTATGTATTCTTCTACAACCATGATGGGTGTGTCCATTAATAATAAGTCTTGGATTCAATATATCTAAAAGCTAAAAATTTCTTTATATAAGTTTAATTATAATCATTTAGATCAATCATTTTTTTAGAATATTTACATACTTGTTCAGATGCTTCTTTTGATAAACATTCCCATCGTTCTCTAAACTTGATATCTTTTATTTCATCTGGTGCTTGATCAAGTTCATTGCAAATTTCATCAGATTCGCGATACATTGGAAAATGCTAATTTAAAAATTATATTATCATTTTTATTTTATGAAATAAAATTATTTACTAACCTGTAAAATAATTGGTCTACTATATCTTGAAATTACATTATCTTTGTTACAATTATTTCCTGTATTTTTTGCACATTTTAAATGTGCTAAAAAATATTTTTATTTATACATAAGTTTTAATAAATTTTTATAAATATTCATTTTTTTTTAACAAAAATTAATCTTACTAGCAATTTTATTTAATGCAATTTCTGTAGGACGACATAAAAAACATCCATCTCCTTCCAGTGCCATACTATTAATTAAAACAAAATGATTTCCTCTAATACTAACTCTTTTTACACTTGGTGACTTTAAACCATTTACAAATCGTTGATTTAAATATGGAGTAATTCCTAAAAAAAATATTTTGTAATTAAAAATATATTTATATAATAATATATTAATATTATAACTACAAAAATTAAATTTATGGTAAAATTAAATATTTTACCATAATGAAATCCAATATCATGATTTCCAGCAACAACATAAAGATGAATATGTTTAGGTACTGAAAATAATGAATGAAATCTTTGTACATATTGATCAAATTCTGCAGAACTACTCCATTGTCCTTCATCGAATAAATCACCTATTACAATTATAATATATTTATTAATTAATTTTATTTTTCATCATTAAACATTTTTTATTAAATACCTAATATAAAAATTATATCTGGTTTATGAAGTGTAATCATAGTTTGAAATGCTCTATACATTTGCCATTCTCTATAAAAAAAAAAAATATGAATTTTAATAGAGAAAAAATTTACTTTTAGAAAATTAAACTTATTATTTATTTAATTATTTAATTTACCTTCTTAATTTATCAAACCAATGTCCATGTTTAGAACCTAATAAATGAGTATCTGCTATAAACATTGCATGTACAGGAGTTTCTTCTGGTTTGAGTTGAGTAATAGTCATATCGATTTTATGTGGTTCCAAAATAGGCCATGTACACTATTATATTGAAATATTTAAAATATAAAAATTTTGAATTTTGCAAATATAACGTATGCCAATAAAACTTACCTGAATAAGCACAAGATAATATAATAAATATTCACAAAAAATAAATACACATATTAAAGCTATGACAGCTTCAATTAAATATTTCTTATATGAAAATGTTTTGGCATCTAACATTTTGTATTATTTTTGTAAAAATATTTTCAAAGATATAATTAATAAGTTATATAGAATAGAATTAAAAATATCACACATATTCTTTTTTCATTCTATTTGAATATTGAACATTTTCGTATATTATGATTATATATTCATATCATATATTTAACACAAAAAGTATATTTTGTTTTGAATATTGAAAATAAACATACAATATTTTTTGCATGAAATATATCTAACATTTAATGTTTTATTATGTAATTCAATTTGTAAATTCATAAATTGTCTTACCATTTTCATTTATAAAATTGTATAGAATAAAATTACAATAATAATAATAATATAAATTAATAATCAAAATTAAAACTAATTTAATTCTCTCAATTTTCTTAAATCAACTAAAAATAAATAAATATTCTAAATCATAATAACAATTTTTTATTTGATAATACTGAATACCGAATAATACGATTTTATTAAAGTACATAATATATACATATAATATTAATTTATTGCTTCATTAATTATTTGAATGATTTAGAAAGCAATAACGTTACAACAGTAATCACTAATATTAAAATACTATATAAGTAGTATTAACAAGTAATGTATAAACTATATACAACTATATAAACTATATAGATAAAGTATAAAAGTATAAAAGACTTCAGAGATATCCATAAGATATCATAATATTCTACATATAATATCAATATATATATAATTTATATGTATGTAAAATATAATATATAAAATATAATATATAATTCATGATATCAAATTTTAAAAAAAAATAAGCATCATATGATTTAACTTTTTACTATTATTTTAGTCGGATAGTTAAATATCGATATCAAAATCAATATATACATCGATACCAATTTTTACTGTATTGATTATAAATTTTATTTAATTTTAAAATAATATTCATATTATTTGTCTTGTACTAGTATTTAACTTTAATATTAATCAAATGTATGAAATATAATCAATTATATGAAATATTTATATGAAAATATTTAAGCTTTTAATAATATAAATTAAATATTTATATATATTAAAAATATTATTCTTATAATAAAGATCTTATAAAATTTATAAATTTACAAATTTATAAATTATAATGTATATATAATACAATATTGTATTACACATATTTGTATTTTAAAAATATTTAATATTTATAAAATTAAATTAAATTATTGTTCAAAAAACATCTAATTTTTTAAAAAAATTAATTTTGATTTTGATATATATATAAAATATATAATTATTTTTTTTTATGTTTTTCAAATATAATAAATTGAAATTAAAGATGTCATGATCTAAAAGTTCACCCACCAGCAAACATATTATATTATAACAATAATTATACGCAAGTTACTTATAATTATACGCATGCGTAGTAATCGGTATTTCATTTCTGTACAATCTTCCATGTGTAATTAACGTTATTTTCTAGGGTAGGTGTTTTAATATTCTAAAACATGTCACAATACAGATTATTGGGTGCTCTTGCAAATGTTTCGCACATTAGTAAAAATATATCAACACGAACAGGTAATTATATATAAAAAAAGTTATATTTTTATATGATCATTTGTTTTTAAATAATATATCTATATCACATAAAAATTTGCACTATATACAATATTGTATTTATTACAATATTTATTACAATATTGTATTTATTACAATATTTATTACAATATTGTATTATACATAATATATATATAATCTAAAGATATTGATAAAGTATGAAAATATATAAAGTACGAAATAAAATAAGAAAGAACTAAAATAGAAAAGTACGAAATATTTAATAAAAATTATTGAAATAGATAATAAAATATTATATATTATAAAAATTTGTATAATTTTCATTTTGATTTTATTATAAATTTTACTTTCAGCATTATATAAATCAATGAGAGCAATGAGTATATCAACAAATTTAAAACATTTGAAATATAAAGTTGTGGATAATGTAGCAGTTCTTACTTTAGATTCTCCAGGAGTTAAGGTATATATAATTCTACTAGTTTCACAAATAATTCAATAAATAAATTAATTTTAATTTTTATTTGCGATATAGATAAATATTTTAAATTCAGAAGTAATGTATGAAATTGATGACGTTCTAAAAAATATAGAACAAAATTCTGCTGTAAATTCAATAATTTTTATAAGTGGAAAACCAGGTTGCTTTGCTGCTGGTGCTGATATTAATATGCTACGTTTTTTCAAAACTCCAGAAGATGGCTATAAAGTATCTTTTGAAGCCAAAAAACTCTTTGAAAAAATAGAAAAAAGTAAAAAACCAATTATAGCTGCAATTCAAGGTACTTGTTTAGGAGGAGCTTTGGAGGTATGTAATTTAATAAATTTATACATTCTATTTTTATAAGATATAGTTTTCATTATTATTCACATTTTTATTTAATCGATATAGATGGCTATAGCTTGTCATTATCGAATTGCTGTAAATGATCAAAAAACTAGTTTAGGTTTACCAGAAGTAATGTTAGGTATCTTGCCTGGTGCAGGTGGTACACAAAGATTACTTCAATTAATATCACTTCCTAATACTTTAAATATGATTCTTACTGGTAAACAAGTTAAAGCAATTAAAGCTAAGCAAATAGGACTTGTAGATCTTTTAGTGAATTGTCTTGGTTCTGGCATTGGAACATCAGAAGAAAAGTAAGATTTGATACATTTTTAGATATATAGATATATATAGATTTAATATATATTTATAGAAAGTATGAAAATTTTACTTACTTAAAATATTTCCAGTACAATGAGATATTTAGAAGAGACTGCTATTAAAGTTGCACAAGATATTACAAATAAAACCTTAAAAATTGATCGAAGTCCTAAAACATTAATTGATAAATTTCTGAATTATGCATTATATTTTGATTTTGTAAAGGATCAAATATTTAATCTAGCAAAAGAAAAAGTAATGAAGAAAACTGGAAATTTCTATCCTGCCCCGTTTAAAGTCTTAGATGTAATACGTATTGGTTTAGATAAGGGACCAAAATTTGGTTATGAAGCAGAATCTAAAGCTTTTGGTGAATTAGGAGTTACACCTCAATGTAAAGGTCTTATAAATTTATTCTTTGGACAAACTACTTGTAAAAAAAATCGTTTTGGAGTGCCAAAAAATGCTGTTAAGTATGCATATTTTTATATATATTATGTAAAAATAAATAATTTTTTTTGTAAAATACTTAATATATATATATATTTCAGAAAAATTGCTGTTGTTGGTGCTGGCCTTATGGGAGCAGGTATTGTTCAAGTAAGCATAGATAAAGATTTTGATGTAATTATGAAAGATACAAATGAAACTGCTTTATACCGTGGTGTTCATCAAATACAAAAAGGAATGGATGCTGCTGTGAAAAAAAAAAAATATTCTAAGTTAGTTTTTAAAGTTTCTTAATTTTTAAAAATATGATACATGTTTATACACATGTATGAATACATAAAAATTCCAAATTATCAAATTTTATTATTCTTTTTTAAATTTATTTTTAGCTTTCAGAAAGATAAATATCTTTCTAAACTTGATTCTACATTAGATTATAGTTCATTTAAAAATGCAGATATCGTAATTGAAGCTGTATTTGAAGATATTACAATTAAACATAAAGTTATAAAAGAAATTGAAGCAAATACACCAAATTACTGTGTACTTGCAACAAATACATCAGCAATTTCTATTAATGAAATAGCTGCTGCGAGTAGTCGTCCAGATAAAGTAAGTATAATATTTAATTATATTTAATTATAATATAAATATAATATTATAAATATTATATAAATATTATATAAATTTATAATATTTATAATATTTTCTTTAATTTAATTTAGTATAATTATGTTATAGGTAATTGGAATGCATTATTTCTCTCCAGTAGATAAAATGCAATTGTTAGAAATAATAACACATAAAGGAACATCGACTGAAACAATTAAAACTGCAGTTGATGTAGGCTTAAAACAAGGAAAAACAATTATTATTATTGGAGATGGTCCTGGATTTTATACA